GTGGAGATGGAAAGGGTGATAGTCGAAGCCGCCGTTGTTATCGACGAGAGAGCCTGTGTTTTCTAGGATAATCTCGATAACTTCGCCGAGTTTGGCGGGCCAGGTCAGCGTGTATGGGTCCCAACCGCCGTTGGCCATGGCGGCGGTGTAGTTCGGCATAGCTGCAGGGCCGTTCTTGTAGATGTCGACGAGGTAGGGCGGGCTGTTGGCGGTGGTCTCTTCGGTCCAGTTTAGGCCATCAAGTTGCCAGATTGTGGTGGATTGCTTGAGTTGCACGTTGTTGATGTGGACGCGGCGGGTTATCTCCGAGGCTTTGGGGAAGTTGTTAGAGACGAGAGGCTCGAGAGCGTACTCGAGGAAGTCGTAGGTGGCGTTGGTGAAGGTTAGAGGGGCGATCGTGGGTGCCTTGGTGGTCTTGGGTCCTGAGCTTGGGTAGCGCAGGATACCGAAGCCGGTGTAGATTGCAGGTCGGTCTTTGGTCTCCCATTGCATGATGTATTCGGTTTGGTTGCCGAGCTCCTCTGCTGTCTTTGTGCTGAAGAGGGCGTCGAAACGTTGGCCGGATGAAAGCATCATGTGGTCTGTAGTGTGGGGTTGCGTGTAGCCACCATCGGCTTCGATAACGTCGAACTTGGAATGGCCCTCGATACCGAACGATACCATCGATATGGCTGTTGCACCTACAAAGCGCATGCGGTAGGTCTTGCCCGGTTCGACTTCGATAACTGGTAGCTCACAGGTGCCCTCGCCAGCAGTTTCACCAATGGCAACACCGACACCATTAAGAAGCACTGCGTTGACCTCACCTGTCCACTTGAATGGCGTCGCAACGAGACCATCTTCCATTACCTCATCAGTCTTATTGTAGTAGTCTTGGAGGAAGACGATGCGCTCTTCATCGTACTCAAACGGAGGAGGACCAAAGTCTTCGATGATGAGCGGCCCTGCTGCAGAGATGGCCTGGAAGCCGATGTGAGAGTGGTAGAAGTAGGTTCCGGCATCCTCAACTTCAGGATGAATCTCATAGTCGAAGCATCTGTGAGGTGCGATCGGCCATTGGCTGACGGGTGAGCCATCACTGAAAGGTGCAGTACGTTGACTGAGGCCATGCCAATGCTGGAGCGTGTTAGTCATATGTTTGTGCCATAGTCTAGTTTCTCCATACCATTGTTGTGTTGTACTCTTCCATGTCATTGCAGACTCGCACCCAACTCGTCTTCCCGGCTGGGAGACGTAGTTCGGGTCCAGGGGATGTACCGTTTACCAACGCAGACATGCGAGTCTGGCATGCTACAGTGTGGTTCTCGTATGTAACCGAAAGGTAGAAGTCCGGGGTGAACCCTCCATCATGAGTGTGGAGACAGGAGTCGTTGTTTCCTGTGGGGTAAGAACCGTTCGTTCCTGTCGGGTAGGGTGCATTCGACTCTTCGCCCACGACTGAACGCGCCGCTCCCAGAAGCAAACCAAAGACCAAAGGGGTGAACATCTTGGACTAGATGCGATGAACTGAAGTGAGGTATCGAGTAAGCACTGCCCAGCCTTATAAGCAGACCTCCTAATATAAGACGTTAAGGTGGCGCGCTTCCTCTGGCGGTGCACAATCTGACACAGCTAGTTTACCATCTACGAACCGTGATCTACGTCAGCATCGCTGACGGCAGGGTTGGGCCGGTAGTACAGCCCAACACTTCCTGGAGAAGGCCCGAGATCTCGCCGAACGCGAAAGCGTGTTGTCTAGATGGCAATTAGTTTGCGACCCTGCGCCCGTCCACAACATCGCGAAACATATTCTCCATGCTGAGCAGGGCGTCAGTACGTTGTATACAAAAATACTTGCGGCTGTCAAAATAGAGTTGCCATCGTCGCGTGGAGTTTAGGTTTCCTGCTAACGCACCGTAAGCCCCCTATCAGACTTGGATGCGGACCGAATGGCGGTTCTTACTCGCCATTGCAATTACCGGATCGTCCGGGAGGTACTGTAGAACAAATGGAAGTCGACTAGAAGCACAGAAGTGATGAATAGCCTGAATGGTGATGAAGACAGTCTCGCCGGGCCCCTGATCATCAAACCTTGAGAAGCACCGACTATAAGTACAACTTTGTACCATCTGCAGCCTTACCCAACGGCAGTTCTCCCTCTATATATACATCGGCCCTCCTCTTCTGAAACCGCGTCGCATCGTCAACGTCATCGATATCATGTTCGCCCAATTCGTCTTACCGTTCCTTGCGATGCAGATGCTCGCATCAGCAACTCCGCATCAACACCGAAGAGCCAACGGCGTCGAGATTACGAGTCTGACAAAAAATGTCACATCGACTAGCGGAATCGGCAATGTCGCTGCGGCGGGTAACCTTTCACCATTCGGCGACATTGGTGTAGGCTGCGGCATCAACTGGCAAGCCGATGTGTCGTACGGAGGTATGTATCCCAATTGCTATGCGGCCGGTTTTAACTAACGCACGCGATACAGGCGGACTTCAGGCTGGATCCAGCGACTTTGGTCTGGGAAGCGGCTTCAACATGACCCCGGAAGCCATCATTATCGGCGCTGGAATCGGCATGAATGCGGCGAATGCGAGCGCGAACATCCAGTTTCATGGGTCGAAGAACGGAAGCGTCGAGCTAGTATTCGAGAGTTCCGCACCGATCGTGTGCACGCCAGGGTTCAAGGATGGAAAGTCGACTGTTTCATGCAAGACAGTGTCTGTGTAGATGGTGGCAAATTAGGACAGTTCGATCGATACCAGATGCACCGTGTGGAGAATACGAAGAAGTTGGGAGGGACGAGGAGTGGGAAGAGAAAGAGCTGAGAGGAAATGGCCCGTGCGACTAGCGTTGCGCGAGGGCTACGGGGAAGCTCATCTACGTCTTCAGCCCCAGAAATATTCTGGATCTTGATATCAATCTAATCGACTACTTAAGACGGTGCATGTCTTTCTATATACGCCGTCAGACATTTGAACCTCCCGCGACCCCCATACTTTCTACGTATCCTGACCCGATCGATGCGATTGATTGCCCCATCTTCATGTACAGTGTCCTCGATCGCGCTTTCAGCCGGAACCTGTGCTGTGCTTCTTGAGGATGAAGCCGAAGTAGTGGAAGGTTCCCCCTCCTCCACCCAGGACTTCCATGTCAAGATCCCACTCATCATGCGAATTAAGAATTGGCTTGACGAAGTGGGGCTGACGGTATGTGACGTAAAGAAAGACGCCGTCATCTTTCAAGACCCTCCAGACCTGTTTGTAGTTAGCAGTTATTCGAATAGACATGTCTGCACTTCTTTTCTTTACTCACTTCTCTGAGATACATTCTGCTGTTCTCGAGGACCTCTTTGGGTGGACTCCATGGGCTGCCGTAGGACATACAATCTAGTGTGCATTTGTCAAAGACAACATCCACGGAGTTGCACGCGATTCCGTTCATGTTTCGCACGTCGCCGACTTGCCATGCTACTTGGGGCTTATCGGCATGTCGAGACTTCATCAGATTGGCTACTACTGTAGAGAAATCGATGCAGAGTTGATTCCTATATCCCCGGTCTAGAAGGTCGTATGGCACACTCTGGTGATATGTCAGTTTGTTACTCTCAAGGAACGCAGGTAAAGCCAAAGATATGTAGAGCTTTTCAATTGAAGATGGCAACGAGACAAGCTTGTGGAGAAGGGAAAAGCTGCTTACACTATTCCCGCTTCCCAAATGCAGAATCCTCGTATCCTTCGACTTGTTTCGGAAGAGATGATTCTGGAAGAATGACTCCAGCTGACTAAAACTGCGATGCCATTCATGCGTCGGTTTGTCCCCAGTTGCTGTCGCATACTGCTCGTCCCAGTAATCCGAGTAACTAAGGATCTGCTCTGTGTCCTGGTGCGATAGCATGGCGTCGGTCTGTAATATCTTGGTTCGAGGTTTGGTTTTTGATTATTGGGCCAAGGAGTGATATCGAGGCACGTACTTGGGTGAGGATGTTGGAAGAGTGCAATATCCGTGAAATAGACCCCCCATGACTCTCTGCTTCCTACACTCATGCAGCGCGAGTCTTCTTCCATGACTCTGCGAGTCTTCAGAGCACCCCGACTTCATAGTAGATTTTGAGTAGACGCGATGACAACTTGGAGATCCGTGCCTTTGGCTGCGACTCACAGCGTGACATCGAGACCGCGATAGTCACTCTGAAGAATTCTGACCAACAATAGCTCTACAGAAATCGCAAGCCTAAGTATGACCAAGCTGGTAAGGGCAAGACTTTCGGAAAGTATTGTCGAGCTAAGCAAATGATGCGATAGCTACTGTTGCAAAAGGACATGACCAATAGGCGAGCGCTACCCATGTATGTTTAGCTGCGCAAAGCAAATAAGGTCATGCGTTAGTGACCAAAGAAAGGATTCGGAGATGGCCATCCTTATGATGCGACCGTAGTGTGTAATTTGGAAGCGACCCCATACGGTCGGCTGGACAAGTTATGATCCATCGGGGCTAAGAGCGATCGCGCCTTCGAGAGGCCCGCGGGCGGTCCCGAGGTCCCGCAATGATAGCGGCAGGTCGTACCGTGTCGGGATCCGACATTGTGATGGGAGGAGCTACCGGGTCACACGAGAAGCGCAATACTGACCCTTTCGTCGTCGCTGAAGGCGTTCTGCCAATATTTGGTGGCGCGCAATACGGATCTGGTGACGTCGAGACTCACTCGCAAGGTCCATAGTATCGTACTCGATCCCCTGGCAAGACCAAAGAAAACTCGTTCTACTCGGACAAAGAGTAGATACTGTGGGTGCTGCAACTGTGCCGCAGAGTTGCATGCCATGTCACGTCGGCTGCACGGCGTGCGAAATTGAATCCTTGCATGCGCGTGCCTTCGCCCGTTCATGATTAGCGCGGGTAAGGGGAACACAGCTGCGGAAACGATACGTACATTTCCCCCCGCTCTTCGGTCTCAGCTTATTTTCACACTTGCCTTACGGATAGCAGTCTAACTACTGCTGAATGAGACGATGAGATGGTTACTAAAACAATTATCCGAAAATACCGCGAGCTTCGGAAGCCTAAGTCGCTAGCGCCCGACAGTTCCAGCCAGAACCAGGTTAGTTCAGATGGATGCTGTGGTCCATGAGGCACGATCGAGACTCAACGTTGACAACCAAATAGCCATCTCAGCCAAACTATAACATTCAGTCGGTTCCTTGCGCGCCAAGCTCTGCTCCTTCCATCGCAACCTCGACTGCTACAAAGCCCAAACGTAATAAGAGTCCCACCTCCAAAAGTCGCTATGGTCTCAATGTTGAATATGACGGCACACACATCACCGACGGTCCGCAAGACCAAGGAGTTGACATAGTGGCCATTCACGGGCTTAATGGCAAGTCTGACTTGACGTGGACCCACGAGAAAACAGGCAAGTCATGGCTTAAGGACCTTCTACCGATTGACCTGCCACGCGCGCGCATCTTCACGTATGGTTACGCAGCCGAGATTTTGCTCAGCAAGAACGTGAGTACAATAACCGACTACTCACTTGGACTCCTTGCGGAGTTACGCCGCCAACTGGATCAATCGTCCGAAGCTACTGTAAGAAAACATGGGAGCACTTGACTATCTCCGCTGATTTTACGCTCCACAGCCTCCGCGCCCAATCATCTTCATTTGTCATAGTCTAGGTGGACTTGTGTGTAAGCGGGTACATATGATCCAACTTTTGAGAGACTTTGTGCTGTTGACTGACTGCAGCCTCAAAGGCACTGCTTCTAGCTCAAGAACACAGCCACTATGAAGACATCCTGGCCTCTACCACCGCCATCGTCTTTTTTGGTACTCCTCACCGCGGCTCAGCAATAGCAGACCTAGGAGTGGCTATCGGTGATATAGCAAATGCCTTCTTCCTAATTCCAGCCGTCCGCAGTGATCTTATCAAGGCGTTGAGCTTGGGATCCGAAGAACTAGCCGTCCTTTTCGAATCATTTTGCAAACAATTGGACTTCCTCAAGATTGTTACCTTTTATGAACGGCACATCCTGCCTCCCTTCAACAAAGTGGTAAGTGCTCCTATAACTCGTGTGGTTCATGCTAACATCGTCACCGTTGACCAGGTCGTCGATCGCCCCTCGGCCGTTATGGGGATCCGCGGCGAGATGGTCATTCCCTTGAATGCTGACCACAGGGCTATGTGTCGCTTCGAGTCGAGGAGCAACAATGATTATTCCATGGTCGTCAGTCAACTCAAACGACTGTGTCAGGAAGCGAAGTCAAATAGGCATTCGGCGAACATGTGTACGTATCGCTAAAACATTTTCTCGCTCTCGCTAATAGAAGTCACTAGCTCTGCAATCAAATGAGAAGCGCTGTATGAGCCTGCTCTACTCCACAGGTCTCGAAGACTATCGAAATCAACTACCTAAACCTGTGGAGGGCACTTGCAGCTGGATTCTTAACGATCCACAGTATATGTCTTGGCTCACATCTAACGAGACGGGCTTATTGTGGGTCACAGGTGAACCAGGTTGCGGAAAGACGATGCTTTCTTTGTACCTCACCGAGCACCTGGCGATCGAGTCTCCATCTTCATCCGGACCAGAAGTCTTCTACTTCTTTTGTGACGACAAAGTAGGTACGCAGAGGGATGCAAAAGAAATAATGAAGAGCATCCTACACCAGATCCTGCTACGACACCGAAGTCTCATCAAATACATGAAGTCGAGATGGGAAGCCACAGGCCATCATCTTGTGGATTCATTTCACGCTCTATGGGAGATCTTCGTTCGTATTGTGAAAGAAGCGAGGCTAGGTTCATTCGGTATTATCGTCGATGCGATCGACGAATGCGAACCAAACACTCGGCGGCTGTTCCTCCAGGCAATCAAGCAGCTGGTGCAGGAAGCGCGTCGTGCGACCCGTCGCTCACGAAGTTTTGTCAAGTTCCTGTTCACTAGTCGACCTTCACCGCAAGACCTCAGCGTTCTTGAAGAAACCCAGAACACTGTCCTGCCACTAGATGGAAACCAAGCCAGAATCAGCGAAGAGATTCGACTCGTTATTCGCAATAAGCTTGGGCGGATCGCCAGCAAGCTGGGCTGCTCGGCCGAGACCATTGCTGAATTGGAAGCGCTGCTCACGGAAAAGGCGGAAAAGTCATTCCTGTGGCTAAACATCGTACTCAAGTCACTTGAGGATAGTCCTTCTACGTCGAAGAGAGATCTCAAGCGAATTATCAACGACTTCCCCCGTGAGCTACAAGCGACGTATGCGGAGTTTCTCTACCGTATACCCGATAGTAGGAAAATCATCGCCTCCACCGTCTTACGCCTCTTGCTGGGAAGTTCGAGGCATCTGTCGTTAGACGAAATGAACATAGCCTACACCATTGATGGCAGCCTGGAGGGCTATCAGACTGTTGCCGAGGTGATGGAAGACCGTCAGACCGCGCTCGAGCAGATGTTACAACTTGTTGTGGGCCCTTTCGTTCGTATCGAGGCGCAGAAGGTGTCTCTTATCCATCAGTCTGTGAAAGACTTTCTGACCGGACATGCACTGTCATCGCCAGACAGTACAGTTCAAGAATTTGGTACTTCGACTCCGACGGCAGCGCTCCATATGGCTTCCACATGTATTCGATACCTTTCTCTTGAGGAATTCGCGACCGATATCTTCATACTCCCGACCCTTCCGTGGGATGAGGACGACACAATTGCTGGTGTGCAAGAAGACACCGATTCAGAATCTTTATTCGACTTGGGTTTCGACATGAAAGGAGATACCATCATGGATACCGGTGACGGATCCGATGAAAGAACCCGCGTGTCTATCGCTGAGCGATACCAGTTTTACGACTATGCTGCAATGCACTGGGCTAGACATTATGCACAATGCGAGACCGTTGTCGACAGATCTACCCAGGAAGCTTTTCGCAGTTTGACACAACCCGGGAGTGGCATGCTCACAAATTGGCTCAAATACTATTGGTTTGAGACGGATATGGAGTATGTGCTACCAGACTATTTCGACACTGTCATGGTGGCTGCGTTCTTTGACTGTGCAGTCATGCTCAACGATTGCTTGCGCATGCCAACCGAACAGCTCAGCAAAGATCGTGCTCTATTTTGGGCCGCGAGGATGGGAAGTGCAAAATCGGTGGAGGTGCTGCTTCAGCATAGTGCAAACCCTAATTCGCGCGTAGTTGAACTACACACTCCATTAACTATAGCTTCTCATCATGGCCACGTTGAGGTTGTAAGAACTCTCCTGCATGATACACGTACCAGTATCAATGCCGAAGGACCGTCCGGTCGTTCTGCCTTATCGTACGCGGCTGGAAACAGTCACCAGGAAATCTTTCAGATGCTGTTTAACCGGCATGATTGCCGGCCTGAACACCAGGATAACAACGGATGGACAGCTCTTTTCTGGGCCATGGAAAGAGACCACACGGTGATTGGGCGTGCTCTGCTTGCCCACAAAGCTGTGGATGTCAACCATGTCGACCGCCAGGGCCGCTCAATACTGTCTTGGGCTGCAGGCGAAGGCTTTCTACAGGCCTTGAAGATGCTACTCAAGCAACCGGGTGTGGACACAAATCTCAAAGACAAGAAGGGCCGGACACCATTGCTATGGGCTGCCAACAACGGCCAAGGAGAGGCCATTGATGTCCTTATGAGGGATGACTACAACATCGACAGGCAAAGCAAAGACAATGACGGTAGAAGTGCTCTTTCTCTAGCCTGTGGCGGCGGCCACACAGATTGCGTAAGAGCCTTGATCAAATATCGGTGTGGAGATGAGAACGAAGAAGATGTGAGCGGATGGACACCACTTGCTTGGGCTCTGGACCGCCAGTCCCCTCCAACAGTGGGCGCTTTACTAGCGGGTCGGGAGGTGAAGCTTGACCATCAGGATCAGAGCAAGAAGACTGCTTTGATATGGGCAGCAGAATACGGCTATTATGACGTGGTGGAGATGTTGCTGCAGCAAGGTGCCGATTCTCGTATAACTAGTACAAATGGTCGAACCGCTCTAGACATGGCAGAGTTGTATGGGCGTACAGAGATCGCAGCTTTGCTCAGACAGGTAATGTCGATGGAGGAGAACACTGTTTGGTGATATCGCTCGGTTGGAGTTTATTAAAGTATCTTTGGTAACGGAACGAATTGACGTCCCCTCTGTCTTTAGTACCACAAAGTAATGATGACACGACAAACACTGAAGTATGAAGAAGCTGACCGGGATGATGGTCGTCGGATATGATGAGATGCCATACCTTCTTTGATCGTAACATTCTCAGCAATGAGCAATGTATCGTAACCCACGATGCCTAACATAATACCTAATCTGTATCTCTCAACGCTCAACCTCCAGCAACCACAGCCAAGCCCTCATAAATCTGCCTCCTGACCCTAGAGAACGTCGCAGCATCATTATTCCTAGGATCCAGATGACCATAAGCCCCTCCATCAATCTCAATCTGGCCAGTAGCTGTCTTCCTCACAGCTACTGTCCCATTGATGACCAACACACCCTCGCCTCTAAACTCCGCTTGCATGCCATTAGCATTCATGAGCTTCCTCAGATCGGCAAGACGAAGATCGCCGACATGGAAAGGTTGTGCGACGGATCGAACGGCGGTGGCCATGTTTGTGGGAACGACATCGAGAATGGGTGTATCGTCATTCTTGTCGCTAGATACGGGAACGGCAGGCGCGTCGAGTCGAGCCTTCTTCTTCGCGGGCGTATCTGCCTCTTCCTTGACTTCGGGCTCCAAGCTTGCAGCTGCGAGGCGACCGGTGATGGCCACGACACCCATGCCGCGGACATTCTGCCAACGGAGGTTGCGCACCATGCTGCGGCTGAGCTTAACACTCCAGGCGTTCGTATCGACACTGGCGTCGATCATCACGCCGACTGTGGGTGTGAAGACATCGATGGCGTTGGCAGAATCGGTGTTTGCGTTCAGCGCTATGCGACTGATCTCTGCGAGTTCTAGAGTCTCGCCTTCCTCGCCACCTACAAAGATCAGCTTGCGAGGCTTGATCAGTGGGATAAGCTGTTGAATCGTGCGGCGGTCGTGTAGGCCTGAAAAGTCGACAAAGGCAATGCGACACCGGATTTCCAGGGATTCCGACTCAATGACGACTTTCGATGGGCCTTCCACTTTGTCTGGATCGTCTTCTGGTTCGCTGTCTGATTCTCCGTCCTCGCCTTCTCGAGCCTCTTTGTCTTTCCGTCGTTTTTGATTGGCGTTAGCCTTGTTAGTGTCGGTGTTGTTCAGTAGGTCGTCCCACCTCCTCTTCTGGCCAACAGCGTTCTCCTTCTTGGTTCCCTCCCCACGAAGAGCTTCCCCAGCAGTGTTGTCTTCCTCTTCCGCGCGCGCAAAATCTTCGGGTCGGATCAGATCACCAAAGTCGTCCGCTCGACGCTTCTTGGCCTGGAACGGGAACATCTTCTCTTTTCCTTTCTTTCCTTGCACTTCATAGTCGTGGACGTTCTTGCGGCGTAAGAGTACGTTGACACCCAACTCCGCGTCTGTCATGACAAGCTTGTTTCGTGCATGTTGAAGGGCGACGGTCGCGTTGAGGGCTTTTCCTCGGTATCCATCACCCGAGCCTTCCGAACTCTCTGACTCGGTGGATGATCGGTCGTCGACAACATCAGCGGATGTTTCGAGCATTGCTGCATTATCACCGCCCATGGTAGTTTGCCGTTGTCTCTGGCCGGCAAGGAACTGCTGGTAAAGCGGAACCTCGTCTCCCTGGAGTGCGACTGTCCGTACAGTATTGAGCGGCGCTTGGTCGCCCGCGGCGTCGATTATGGTTGTAGAAGGGGCGTCCTGCCCTGGCGATGCATTGCGCTGGTTCCACAGTTCCCAGAGATATCGGCCGAGACCCTTCTTTTGAGCGCCCAGTTGACCAGCTCTCTCTGTGAGAATGACTAAATTCTTCTCGTCGGCCGCCAGACTTCGAATGGCATCTTTTGAGAATCCCCACTCAAGCGTCGCGTCGCTTGCCAGTATCACTCGCGGCCCATTGGCGCCTAGCATCCTAGCTACGCGGGTCTTGCGCTCAACCAGTGTGATATGTTTGAAGTCGAACGGGACCCTGGCGCGGTCTTCCTCTTTGCCGCTTTTGTTCCTCCGATCTTGATCCGCAGCGCTGGCTTCAAACTCCTTCACGATGCCCTCCTCCATCCATTCCAACATACTGCGTACGTATCGCATTGTTGCACCCCCCGTTCGACTCGCAAGATAGACTTTTGCGCTTTGTAGTGAGCCGCCCCCTTCCGCGTTTGTTGCCTCCCGCTCCCATGTTTCTTCGAGAAGATATGCCAGTTCCAGTATCCGAGCACTTGAGTCTGAGGGGATCAAGACGGTTCCACCCTTGGCCACTGTGTCTTGAATCATCTCGAGGAGGGCTTCATCTCGCTTGTTGGGCGATCTAGCCACCTTGACCATACTGGTGTTTTTGCTGCTGCAGATCAAGGCAGTTGGACGACGCAACTGCTCCAGAACTTCCGAGCCACCAGTGCCAGGCCCTCCGAGCCACGCAGCTCCGGAGAGGACATGTTCCCTAGCTTGGTTCCAGTCGACGGCATATACGACCGACTCCATCCCATGCTGTATATGCCATATTGAACCTCCCAACGTGTGTCCAGCGCTGTATGCGGTAATGGTGAGACCATTGAGCGGAGGCGAATGCGGCGAAGGGATGGGCTGATGCGGTTGAGAATATCGAAGGGGATTGATACGGGCGAAGTAATCGGCAATCTCTTGCGATGTAGGCGCCTGGAGAAGAATGTTGGGATTCTTTCCACCCGTGAGCGCCGAGGAGAAGGAGTATGCGGACTCACTGAGAGCTTCGGCGGGGATGATGGACGAGGCGAGCGGCGTGGATTCGTACAAGTCTTGTAGCAGCGTTCGGCCGAGCGATATGACGGGGTTTGTCGCGTAGACGGGGATTCGCGTGAACAGAGGGAAGTTCTTGCAGCAGTGGACGTAGGCTCCGAGATGCGCAGTAGTCGCGTGAGTAAGCAGGATGAATGAGAGGGTGGGGACATGTCTGCAGTATCTGAATTAGTCATCGTGTATGTATGGTGCATTGCTATATAGCGACTTTGCTACCCGCTGCCAGTGCTTCCCAGGCGCGTGTAGCATATATGAACAGCCCATACTTCAGCTGTGCTCCACATCGCGTTCGCGGCGAGATCAAGGACCTACCTCTCTATCTCTTTGAGCTTCTCTACACTGAAATCTTCATCCCAGCCAACATCGATCAAAATTTGTATGCCTCCATCGAACTCCAGCAATGACTGCGACGCGGGTGAGGAGCTCTGTGCGCCCAGTAGGGGCGTGAAGTTGAACATAGTTGCAGCCGCTACTCAGTGTGATTTAGGCGACTCTAAGTCTCTGTACGCATGGTGCTCGCACGCTGGTTGATATGGTGAGGCGGTGATGTTGTCTCGTTAGTTGATGCTTGAGCAGTGACAACATGGCCGAACGCGTCTAAGCGCGTCGGAGCTCGGGGACCAATTGATCCGCGCGTCTGATCCCAGATCACGTGAACATTACCACCCTGCTGTCCGTACCACGAAAAGGCACCACGAGCGACGTATCGCCTACCTCATAACAATTTGCAACGTGGGCGATACAAGCTGCTGTTTTTGGAGCTACGACACAATACCTGCTGCGGCAGAGCTCGTCAATCACCTAGGTAAGCCCGAAACACATCCACCCAACCCTCGCAGCACCACCTGCCGTTAGAAGCATTTCTACACCCACATCGTTTCCGTCTACTGGGTTTGTTTTGGTGTGGTTCATTAGCTCCTGCCTATGTATGTATGCAACTTTTACTGCAGGTCAACCCTAGAAGAGTCAAGCAGGCCCCGCCGCATACGTGTTCGCAGACAGCGGCAACAAACAGTCCCGTACTTTTCGAATTTAGTCGATCACCCGCCCGCGCCTGCATCCGCTGGGAAATCTAGGGAGCCGTGGGTTCCTTATGGTAAGCAAACATGCACTGTATCGGCCAGGTAGAAGTCTTGTGACGGCGTTACGAGGCACACCGAACACTATCAGGATATAATTGTGAGTAGCAACTCGGAATCTTCGTATGAGGCTGCAAATGAAGTCGCGTTAGCACCCAAGGCGGAACTTCGGAACGAGACCGGCATGCAAAGCACTCAGCCCGCGCCACAAACATGCAGGAGTCGCACTGCGCATTCAACAAACCTCATCCTGGCTCATGTACAGCAGACACGGGTGGCCTCCAGGGCAAGAACACGTCTGATCATCTCCTGATATTGTACCCACGCAAGTACCGGACAAGACGTCATGACAGATGTCAAACGGAATGGTCGGTGGTTTTCACGAACCGTTCATGGAACCCTTGATACTACTACTGCGAGTCGCCCAACTCCAGACCAGACCTGTCTTGATCATGGCTCAACACTTGCTGCATATGCAGCCGTCTGCACCTGTTGTCTGCGTCAACAGTGTTGGCGAATGGGACGGGAAGTGACCCCGCAGCCAAAGCACGCAGCTAAGGTCCTTATGCAAGTCATTCGCCTGTCCCCTTCGGCTGCATACGTCCGTCATTTTCGTTACGCAAAAACGGGCTAATCACGGTCAGCCATCGGGGCGCCGCTATCACCACGCAGGGACAATTGTCTGACCCATCTTTCTTGAGTTCATCTGATCTCTGTGTCGGTTGTCAGAATACTGTGCAACGAGTCGTGTGCTACGTCATGCACTCGTCGAGACGGGCATTTACTTTAGAGAAGACCACTGCTGATTCCAAATTGGGGACGGTAAGATCGAGAATGGAAACTAGGCTCCACCTTGCGATGAGACGGCGGGTCCGAGACATGATACTTTTCATCGAATCATGCCAAATGAGGAGCTTCGACAACTTGATTCACGGTCATCTGCCGGTGATGGGTCTAGGCACTTGCGAGCGGTTGTCGAAGAACGCCGTAGCATGCTGCCCAAATCACATTTCGACGCGACTCAAGACTGCAAAAACCTTGGTCCTTCAGAGCATGCCTGACCATCTCGTCACGCAAGGAGAGGCGGCTTGTTATCGGGCTCTGCACTCGAGTCCGTCAAAGCTTTC